GATGAGTGACACATATTTACATCTTTACTGCAATAATTAATAAAAGCAAAAGAAGGAAAAGCCTTTTTGTCATATTATTTCAACATAATTCTGCCATTTACTCAAAATGACATATTTTTAAAACCAAAAAAGGATTAATTGGGAAGGTAAGCACTTGAGGTACCTGTCTTCTCCTAATATGTCTTACATTTCTACTGATGTAAAGAGCACAGGAAATCCCATCATTCCTCCTGGTTTTGTGCTTTCAGTATCTCTTACTCCTCTCATCATTATCCAGCACGTTCCTCTGCATTTCCCATCGCTGTGTTGTCATGGTGACAGTGGTTGAATCTCATTTACAAGTGTTTCATGTTGCCCTCTCACTAGGGATGCCCTGCACTGCAGAGCTGTTTCCACTCCCTTCCTGTGAGGAGAGTTGATATTTGATGTTCCCTCCTCAACCGCCCTTCCTCGAATGGAGTTACATTTCAAACATATACATATAAGGTATTGTACATTTTAAATGCACTACATCCTGAACAACATTGCAACCTTTCTAAACCCCAGGAGGTTACAGAATTTTATAAGTTTTAGAGAATATTTATTCTCTCTTCCTAAGTGTCAAAGAATAATTCTTCCTTACTCCTAAGATATTTAACATTTTCTGTGTGTTGACATTTACGATCAGCCCTGCTCCTTATCTTCCGTAAGGAATGTGATAATGCAGTCGTATGTTGATACTATAAGTTCTATGGCTTGACCTAGCGGACATAGGGGGTTTTACGCTAAGCTCCACAGATGAGAGAGACATCTCCTGTGTCTCTAGATGTTAACGCCCCATCTCCCCAAATATGTTGTTTACTCTCTCTGAACTAGTTAAAAGGTCTATCGAGAGATATGCTGATTAGAGTTGACATGACAACCCACCTGTGCAGTCAGAACCTTTTGCTGCTGTGACTTGTGATATGAATTCTCCGGCCGTATCCTTCTACTATCATTGTTCGACATCAAAGCTCCAACTCTCCTCGTGTCTCTCTGAGTCCTGACTCTCCATTGCTGCAGAAGTTTCCCTTACAATAAGCATCATAATCCAGGTCTGAAAAGCCAATGCAGAACTGATTTAAATCTGCATTCTCTCCGATATGCAGCAGGGGGCGTCAGATTTGATAGAAGTCTATGAAAGAATCCTCTTCTTATTAGTGCGAATGCTGTTTACAGCATTCCACTAGTTCTTTGAATCTTTAATCTTCTTCTTATTATTATTTCAGAGGCTGTGTTTACTCGCATCATTCAAACAAGACGCGCTGGCTCGGGGGCTACAACAAAATGAACATATTTTACCGTGATTAAATTGTAAGACACGTTTCTAAATGATGCCGAAGTAACAACATACTGATACCGGTTAGTAAAAACCATGAATTATTGCTTTGACAAGTCTGCAGACAAGACGGCAGGCGAAAAACCTTTTAAAATGCGTGTTTTCTGAATGGCTAAGCTAACGTAGTATATGCTCCGACCGTCCACACTCATAACAACGGCCTACAGACATAAATAAACCAGCGACTGTATTCACCATGACAGACAGTCTGTGGTTTGTACTTGTTTAACCTTTGTCCAGTTTCTGAACAGATATGAGGAGCTGTGAGCTCTGAGTGCTAACTGCTAACAGCTAACGGCTGATGTTTTATGGTTGAACGTCAGTGACGGCAGGCTGAGATTCTCACCGCTGATTGGCTACCGCGAGATCGCGTCACGCGAATATGACGCTTGAGTTGAACAAATTTAACTCGAGCGTTTGTTGCGGCCCCCCTTCAATCGCGTCCATCACTTCATGCTCGCCGTCGGAGCGAATTTGCGTCTGTCCGTGTCTCTGCATTGACTTTACATGTAATCGCGTCGCCCCCAAACATCGCATGGCGTCCGGTGTGAACGCAGCATGACGGCCCCTACACACGGCGGCGTGCGTTGCCGCTTCAACGCTTCTGAATGGGGTGACGTCACGATTCGCCGAACTGCATTGTGGGAGCAAAGCGTAGCTTCTCTCGCGGTGCTCGCTGCAAAAGTAGAGCAATGTTCTACTTTTGACGCCTCGACGGAGGCGTCAGCCAATCGAATCATATGCCAGTACAAGCTCTAGCCAATCAAACCGCGTGCTTGTGTGTCTGGGGCGGGAGATTCATGTGATTGGTTGTTGGTCGAGTTTCAGCCCCCCCCGCCGGCAAGTGACAACGCACGCCGCCGTGTGTAGGGGCCGTAAGAGTGCGTGATGTCACAGCTAGAGTGGAGGACAGCTTGAAATTCGCCTTACATTTTTTCTCTTTTTAACTGCCATAATTCCCAAACCCTACACTCCTTGGAAATAATTGTTTGTGAAAAACGTAGGAAAACCTCTCATAAATAAATAAAATAAAAAATAATAAACAAAATGCCTCCTGAGGGCATGAAGTGACAACAACTTTCAACATGTCTCCATTTAGGCCCATTGTAATCGAGTCTGATCTGTCGTCAGAGCAGCAGCTGCACACCTTTAGTAAATCTGCCAAAAATGCCACATTATGGACCCAAAAGTACAGAAAAAGCAGATTCCGACACTCCTCACGGTCCTGACATCCTCCACGCGTTGACATTTTACGAAAGCAGCTACTGTTTTTAAACTATAGTTAGAAATGTAAGAGGTTTATTTCTCATTCAGAACAATGCTAATTTAGCAGATTATGTTCCCATGTTGAGTCAAATGTAAAATACAGCAGGATAAGCTCTATGGCAGGGGTCACCAACCTTTTTTAGGGTGAGGGCTACTTTAAAAAATAAAACAAGTCGGGGGTTACTTTTACTCCTCTTTTTTTTGTTTTTTGCAGTGTATATATTTAGCACATTTTAACATTATTATATGCTTACCTTTAACCTTTGTGTGCTGTTTGGGTCTGTGGGACCCGTTTTCAGTGCTTACTAAAAGAACATGTATGCAATTTAATTATTTTAACCTGTTTTATTTGGGGGTGGACGGTCCTCACCTCTTCTAGGGGGATCCGGGGGCATACTCAATTGAAATGCATCAATCTGGTGCACTTTGAGCACAACATGAATGTATGGATACAGCTCTCAACACTCAGATGAAAGGGAGCTGAATACTTTTCAATAATCCAAACATCTTTAGAATATGATTACAACCAATAACAAATCATTTAAACTGGTTTATTCTTATTTTATGTTACCTAGTTAGCATTCCTTATTTTTATTTATGCATATTTTACTAATCACTCCCCTTTTAAACGGTTTTTAGTTTTTTTTACTGTCCTATACACATTGGAATGATTTCTTACTTTACCTATATTAAATAGATAAAGGTGTGCTCTCTCTAGCTCTCTCTCTCCCTCTGTCTCGCTCGCTCACAGAGGCTATGTGCTCCTCCGTGGCGATGATGGCTTGCGTTAAAAAATAAACATATTTGTAAAGTGGGGGGACACAAACGGGATTTCGAAAAGAGCGGGGGACATGTCCCCCCCCCCCCCCCCCTGTCCCCAGTGGAGATTACGCCATGCGTGTGTGTGCGTCAAGTGGAATAAATACATAGGCAAGTTGCAACACACACAGAGTAAAACTCTGCCCCTCATGTGTTGTATAGGCTGGCATGATAGGCTGTTCAATGGGGCTGATGTGTTGTGTAGATTCTGCCAGAAGGAAATTCAGCGGGGCGGTGCCGCTCCACATTGCTTTTCTTCCCGACTGCAACGCTGGTCCCGCAAATCAAGCAAGAGTGTGATTGGTCGATATTCATTTTGGGGTGGGGGAGGAGGGGTGTTAGATAGATATAGAGTTGTAGTAAGTAGATAGAGTTTGCTATGATTTAAGTTTAGTTTATGCATAGGGTAGATTCTTTTAATTACATTTCCTTTTTTGTTTTGTGTATTTTATACATTTTGGATTTGCTTGGCGAGCTATTTTTAGAACATGCCCCGCGGGCGACTAGTGTTGCACCGTGCAAGTGGGCACCGTGTTGGCTACCCCTGATCTATGGTTATCACTCCTTTTCATTGAGAAGAGCTCATATTCTGTTACATCGGTTTCTTTAACCATACATACAGGTTAAATTGGTGCATATTCAATGCACCCTCTACACAAAATAGTGACATTTTTTAACCCCAGAAAGTATTGGAATTGTATAAACATATGCCAAGCAGCAACCTCAAGGTCATAGATAAGCCTTCTTCATACAGTGATTTCTACTGATCTGGATTTAAAAGTGAAGCTAATGTGGAAAGTCACAATTTGGCATTCTTTCTAATTGCCAGTAGGGGCCGATTCCTTCGTTTTCCCTACTTCTCATTAGATTTGTTACCCAACTTAAAGGTCAAATATTATGCAAAATACACTTTTTCATGTCTTTCATACATAAACATGTGTCCCCTCTGTGTAAGGAGATTCTGAAAGTTTCAGGAAAAAAGATTCCCTGTCTTTTTGTCCTGATCCATTTATATAAAAACCTGTCTGAAAATGAGCTGATCAGATTTTGGACACTTTGTGATGTCATAACGTTTTTTTGGGTTGTGTAACCATTAGCCAAAATCTCCTCCTAGAGCACCATTGAGTTATTTTTAACCAAATATCTCTCAGAGGGGCGTGGGGAGGGGCTCCTTATTTTCATCTAAAGTAACAGACAGAGAATCAGCACTTTGGAAACAGGGCTGAAACAGAGGGGATTATGGGATGCTACAATGCATGATCTGTTTGGTACATGTTTTGTATATAACTGAGACCTATAATATATTGATGAAAAAGAGTATAATAGGGGACCTTTAACACTTCCCTGTCAAGTTTATGGTCTTAGACTCTAGTTTATGTTTTTGAATATAGCATGATGTTCTTTTTGTAAAATATGCAAAAAGTAAAATAGATCATTAATCAGGGTATGCTTTAGGGCAGGTCTACACTGTGATTGACAGGTCTACCACAGTACCATAGGATAAGGGCTGATGGAGCTGAAGCTGGAAACAGGAGATAAATAACACAATGGAAACAAATCACTTTGTAATGCTTTTATTAATTGACTAAAAGAAGAGAAGCATTCATTCAACATGAATTCAAATCAACATGAATTCAAATCAACATTCGGCAGGTTGACCCCTCAAGTGTGCACCTTGTAAAGAGGTTTTACATGGAGGTTTGTAATGTCCCCTCCCTTTTCTCAAACACAAAACCATGGATCCACACTGCTCACTAAGATAAAATCTGTCCTTTCAGCTGGAGAGGACTCTTTCCCTGCAGATAAAAAAAAAAAAAACAGCTGGAAAGGTTTCAAATCCGGGTTTTGTATTAGTCTAAATTTAATTAATTAAGAGCGGTTTCACAGGCATAGATTAAGCCAAGTTCTCAACTAAAACATTCCCTTATGTGGACAAACAGTTTTTTGGAGTGGAAACTCCCGTGGCTGGTCTTAATCCATGCCGTTCATAATACAGATCAGATTAGGCCATTTAAGAAACAAAAAGGTATTTAAAATGTGCTCCGTGTGATTTGAAATCTGGTCCAGCTGTGTTTGGGTTACGTCTGGTTCCCTACTTACAGAAATAAGGTACTGCTATGTGCTCACTTTAACAAACAAACACAATCACACAGGAACATAACGCTCAGAATATTCAACATTAAGGATGGTAAAACAATTTTTTCCGCATAAAACACTTGACAACATAGCTTCTGATTTACAAAGTCTGTGTGATTTTTATAATATACTTCATGTTCATAAATTGAACCCGGACATGTGTTGCATAAGTATACCACGGTAATGCATTGTTGATACCTAATACAAATATGCACTGTGTGAGTTAATATATATATCTATTTATATAGTTTATATTTCTTCCTCTATGGTTTTCTAAAGAGGCAGCCGGGCGCTGTCAGCACTGCTCGTGCCCCTTTGTGGCCACTAGTAAGACTGCTGTTATTGCAAACTGTCCTGATTTTAAACAAATGCACAACATTCGTACCACGATAACACTGGGGCCGTCTAGCCGGTCTCACAGAGACCAAGAGTGAGCCCGCCGTCACCGCTGCTGTCGCTGGGCTGGCTGACCAGAATCAAAAACAAAAAATAAAGATCTTAAAACTAAATGATAAGATTTCAGAAATCATCATAAGGCCAAGTATTGTCATTGCAAGTTCTTAATAGTTCATTTCTACTGCGTGACAGTGAGAGAAAGAAAGAAAAACAAACAAAATAATAGAGAAGCGTGTGGATTATATGCATTCCTCTTGCATAGTTGTGCGGCTGGCCTGCCTGCCGGGCTAATTGGGAGGTTTGGCTCTCCAGACTTGACAAGAAAGACTTTGTTTAGGGGCCAGAAACATCGGAGCCACAGTAGCTGAGATCTAAACGAAGATAGTTGGCTGACACTGAGCATGAATATCTATCAGTTCCTTGATGCAGCCGGGCGCTTACACAGACCCCCGGGGGTGTGTGCGCCGCGGCGACTGACAGGAGTTTGGCCGGGTTATGCTATCAGTGCCGTTTTGTTGTTTCTTCTCTAGAAATAAAATGTGGCAAGTAAAGCCTTTCTGCTCTGTGTGAACCTCCCCCCTCCGCTGAGATATTATACACACCTACATCTGTTATTCTATACCAGTGCAATGCACATCCAGTGTTTTTCCTCCCAAGTAACAGAAACATACATCAGGATGTTTTCTCACATTCCTGCCTGAGTCCAGCCCTGTGTGAGCCTATTCAAAGTCTTGCATGTAATGGTAGTAGTCTATGGTGTTAGGTAAAAACACCAGAAATACCCGTCTGAAATCTCCCATTGTGATGAGGACGCCCTGTCTCCTAATCCTGTCACTGTCTTAAGCCTTGAACCATCTAAACTAGCTCCTTTCCAGCTATTTAAGAGTCAAGAACATTGCAAACGTCCCGAGAGTCGACATTATAAAACTCAAGTTGGCATTGAGTCTGAGCGGTGAGCCCGTTTAGACTGATGCAGATCTGACAGTCTGTTGCTTTGGTACTAAAATAACACACTCTTGTTTGTTTCGATAGGATTTGTATTGGCGAGTAAGTGTCCAACCCAACTCCAGGACAGATGTACCCAGATCCCTGTTTCCCTACAGCTCTGCTATCACATCAGGCTATATTTCGCCATGAATGCATATTAAAGAGCATGGAAAAAACCAACATGTCAAAAGGGGTCAGCTTGAACGGGGATTGATGTACAGTAACTGCTGGTAATGGTCTCCTGTATAACCGGCATCTCATTTATAGCCTTAAAACCATCTTTTTTTGTGGCAGAACTCTTAAAGGTAAGGCTCCATCAGTCTTCCAGTGTACACACAGTATAGTTTGGCCATACACAAACCTCTGTCTGCACATGATGTATAAATAATTCCCAGACACCAGGCGTTTTCACTTCCCCTTTCCGTATTGCGATGTACTTTACTCTAGATGGTTGATTTAATGTGTTAAAGAGAAGAAGACTCCATTAACTGTATTTAGTACAGTCTTGGTATGTTTCTAACACTTGTAACCTTTTGTGTGCCAGACACAAAAAAGTCCCAGAAATGGTTTCAGCAGAAAGCGCGTTAGAACCACGGTAAACATTTAGAGAGACCTCCACTCTGCTCAGACCAGCTGGTAATCTGGTGTGTAGTCAACACCATCTGCGTCTTGTAACCCTAAACAAAAACCTCTAAATAAAAAAAATTATAATATATATTTATATAGATTCTTAGTTTTCACGCAGACGTACACTGTTTGCAAGTCTGACGGCCTGAGCGACCCCTGCATGGAATGTTCCATTCCCTGGCTGATCTCTAGCAGCAAATCACGTTACAGCTCCGCAAGCCTGGCGCCAAACACTTTTCCATCAAGTATGACCTTGGACACAGGAAACACATCAGATCAGAACGCTGGCCTGTGTCCCAGCTACAATGAAATCTGTCAGAAAGTAGCTCCAGGAAGCATGGAAGGGATTGATTAGTCCCTGAAGTGTTCAGAGATGACCCCGTCCTCCTACATTCGCTCACAGTGAAAACAAAGAGGAGTATAAGCCTTAAAAAACATACTGCACTGGACTTCAAGGCCTCTCTTTGCTATATGCAGTGTAGACCCAAAATCCCAAGATAGGAATTGGCCAGTAGAAGTTGAACTAGCACAACGTTGGCCAGGTACGCTTTGGTCTCTTTTCACACTGTTGTGACCCGGTACAGCACAGTATAGTCTCTCCACAGATTGGTAGAAGTTAGTAGACTAGGAGCCACTGAGAGTGAGGAGAAAGAAGGAGAATACTGGACCAGCCTCCTGTGTGTGTTTGGGCACTTCAGATAGACTTGTGTCTGTTTGTTCCACTCTGGTCTTTGGCAGCTTTAAAAACACATCAAGGTATGGAGAACAGATCCAGAGACTCCTACGGTCCATACAAGTGAGATCAAAGGCCTGAGCTATCGTGACCTTCCCACCTCCTCCTCCCACTCTTATTGAAAGCCGATTGTACCCTGAGAACGAACGATGCCGTTTCCTGCCGTGATAAGACTACACTCCTGAACGTGAGCAAGCCCTCCCCTTGTACATGCACTCGCATATCCATGCTGAAACGTATTTCTACTTGAAAGTTAGATGAAAAGCGCAAGAAAATACAGGCACACTCCAAACACTAGCTGCTAACGCTGCGTTTCTTAAGCTAACAATCACAGCAACGACTACAAACGACACAAAGCTGATAACTTGGAGAGCAGAGGTTTGAAAAGCACTCGCACTCTGGAAGCTTTCAGGCACACACTGCTTAATGTTAAGATGTGAGGGATGACAAAAATGGACCATGGATTTTTTTGCATATGGTAGCTTAAAATGCTATCCCATACTGTGACCAATTTTGCCAGTATTAAGTTGTTCAGCATACATTTGGTTTTGGTGAAGAAAAACAGAAGGAAAGGTTGTTTTGCGACACCTTCTGCTCCCACACACATCATACATAGTGTTTATCTCAGCAACTCTGTGATTTGGGAATATTTCTACATTGCAATTGTCAAAACGTTAACTTTTGATAGAGAATATGTACTGGCGCCTGCTTATAGAAATACTTTTTCTCTCAAAAGTGTTAGGAAGTTAAATGTATTTAAATTGGGAATATCATTCCTATTAGATGTTTCTTTTTCCGTTGAATCTGAGAGAAACCACAGACCATTTGTTTTAACATGTGGGGACTTAAGACTTAAGGATCCATAAGAGGAAGCGCACACAGAAGGTGAGGCTGGTGTTTGTAAAATCATCTTTTTTCGTACATTTCTATTTCACCAGCTCAATTCTAGTTTGAAATAACATTCTACTGTTGCAGTTTTCCCCTTCTTATCAGGTGATGCCTATATACAATACAAACAGCTTGAATCTCTCACATGAAGGAGCGATGTAGAGTTCTAAAAAACTACACGAGAGGAAACACCCAAGGAGGGGAGGAAGAGAACAAATATTTTAAAACATGTTTGGTCTGAAAGTGTTATGTTGGCATTGCTCTCCCCTCTGAGTGCTCTATATACAGCCTTTAAAAGAAACTCTTGGTACCAGAGTGCATTTGTCCTGAGATATGGACCAAGGAGAGATTATCACTGTAGAACCATTGATAACAGATGACCTAACATTTGGTAAACACAGGCCAACCACCACTGCAATCCAATTCATTCCGAACCAAGCAAAGTGCTGGCACACTGTATAACTCAGGATCCATATCAGTCTATGAAAAGAAACGCACTTCAACCTTGTAAACTACAGACCTGGATATGGACCTTCACAGTCTCTGATGCCATTGCCCCGACTTCGAAAGTGCGCAAAACAAGCTAGCTGACGCCATTCTGGGAAGCTAACTTTCCAAGCGATGGCTAGTTGACGGCACTTACTTGTGAAAGTTAGGCGCTCTAATGCCCGACCCAACTCTTTACATGCTGAGATCCGAACTCAAGTTCAAGAAATACCCCATTAAGATTTAAGTACAACAGCAATTATAACCAGATGGAACCGAGTTATCCACTGGTTGTACAATAAGGAAGATATGTGGTTGGTAGAGCCCGGCTTGAGGGCTGACCATGGCATGGTTGAACTTCAAGAGCCTGAATAACATTTATTTTGTTTGTTAGAACAGAGGCATCTCACTCTTCCCCAAAAGATAGAATCCGACGATTCAAGCGACTCATGCCCAATATCCCTTGTGCCAGGCCAAAGGTATTTCACCCCGGAAAACGGACTACATTCAGTTTCAGACATTATTCGGGCCCAGCAGGTCACTCCCTTTCCCCCACAACATCTCCTGGAGTTATCATAAAACATGTGCAATGAGCAGACTGCCATTCTTTAGTCAACCTTAATCATTGAAAACAAATGTATGATAAGGTTCGCTGATCCCTGTAAACCGAGGTGTGGCGAGGGATTAAAAGATGGCAAGATAAACAACATCATCAATAACAACAACATCTGTATCCAGAAAACAAGGGGGCTGTTTCCAAGGCAACTGTGAATCGAAAAGGAGATTCAAATAAAATAACGACAGTATCTAACGCTTAATGATTGTTTCACACACACCCTACTCATCACTGCAGCGGTCCTGGTCATAGTGATGTTAAAAGCCTACCTGAGACTGACAAAATATGTTTCACCACAGAAATACGACATAACGTTTTGAAACCAAAACCCTTGTTGTGCTGTAGGTGCCGCGGAAAAAATATTCCGCCACTGACATTGGAACCCATGGTATCCAAATAATGGCTGCCTTTGGAACCTAGGATATTGAAATGCTAGAAACCATTGGAACCTAAAATATCCAAATGCTGGCTGCCATTGGAACCTGGGATATCCCATGCTGGCTGCCATGGCTCATACAATATCCAAATGCTGGCTGCCATTGGAACCTAGGATATCGAAATGCTGGCTGCCATTGGATCGTACGATTTCCAAATGCGTTATTCAGCAGCAATGACTATTGTGGCAAGATAAAGCACATTTCTGAAGAAAGTATAGCTTTACAGTAGGCCTTGAAAAAAAAGGGCAGACTGGCTAACAGAGTTAAGTTACATTCAGTGCCTCCTTAACTTTTCCCTGTTCTTAATCATGAAATGTTTTACACCAAAAGAAGAAAAACCTACTGCTAGTTTCTGCCAAAAGACTCGTAGCATACTTGCAAAGCCTCCGTTTGGTACTCAGGGAAGTCGTGCCTTCAGAATACTGGTTTTAGACTTTGGAAGGAGTCAGAGATTTTAAAATATATATTTATTCATGGCATAATGAAATGAAGACCTACTTTCTCTTCCGGATTATGCAGGTTGTCTAATCTCAGAGTCCTTCATGTTGTGACGCACACTTCCTTTCTTCTATTTAAACTGGTATTCCACATTTGAATATTCTGTAACCAGTGATACTTGTCAGTAAGTCTTGACCTAAAGAGAGCAAAGGTAGAACAAGATGAAAGATTGCACTAGCTTACTACAGATCCAACAAAGCGGGGGACTTTGTTTTGTTGTGGGTGAATGTTATAGTTGCACTCTGAATGTCTGTCGGAAGAAGAGGCTCTCCATTTGATTCACTAGCAAGGTTTCTAAAAAAGTCAGCAAGTGGGGAGTGTGTTGGCTAAAAGTATGTAACAATATTCTCTAATACACCATTGGTAAGGGGCTCTAAATCCTTGATAAAACCATTTACATATATCAGGGTCATAATATAGCAGTGGATATTTCCACCTTGCTGCGAAGGCTCAATCTAGTAGACAAGTGCACTAGGTGCTCTTTGCGAGCAACAGAAGAAGCAGCTAAGGATGCATTATCAAGGAAGTGATTGAGTGGTTAGCTTACAAACTCTAACCTTTGCTCTGCATTGGTATGTCAGTCTGCTCCACTCTAGTAAAGGGTTTTAGAAGAAAGACGAAAAAAGAAAAAACACGTTCACAACCAAAACACTCCCCCAATAAATCCCACCGGCCCATCACTCAACCTGTCTTAGCTGTGAGCAGGATGATAATAATATATCTGTATTTAAATACACACAAAGCCTATACAGGCAAGGGAACCACCACACAGGAAAAACAAGATTATACACAGAGCGGGGAGTGATGAGAAACAGTCAACAAAAAATAGAAAGAAAATAAAAACATCCTACAGAGGCTCTGGAGGTTTTTAAGGTGAAATAGAAACATTGAGCTATCAAGACCAGACCAGACCAGACTGAGCATCTGGAGCTGCAGTAACCCATTTTTGCAGACAAAAAGGGTTTATGATTCAAGTCTTGTATATGGTACAGGGCCAGAGATTGGTATGCCTTTAAACTAAATAAATATCACGTTTTATTAGAATAACCAGTTTTAAAGGGATATTGTTGAATATTTAAAACATCAAAGATTGATGATCTGTTTTCCCCAAGTCACTGGCTGACTAAATAATCAAAGAGACAAAGCACCTTAAAAGGGAATAGTTTTGAAAATGGTAGGACTTGATGGTGTGCTAAAAACGCTGTGAAAAAAAACAAAGAATAAAATTATAATAAAAACAATCCTTTAAATGTAATTCACGGATTGTTTTAAGACCCAGTTTACATCTCTCCCTGCTTTGGGGACCCTTTCGGAGGTGTGTTTGGTCTGGCCTGGTCTTGACACGGTGTAGGCTGTGATGTGTTGGACCTGCCTACATGCCCATGCTGAAGGCGTGCAGCTCGCGGTGGAAGTGCTGGGTGGGTTCGGACAAATCCAGGCTGGAGGGGTGCCACCCGCGGCCGAGGCCCAGAGAGACCTCCTTCACCAGGTTGTGGACCGGATCGCCCTCCATGCACACGGACTGGTCCGGGTCGAAGTCGATGCTCTCCTCGGAGACGGTCAGGACACGAAGGCTGGAGCCCCGCAGTCGAGAGATGGCCACCAGGTTATGGGACCAAACAGTGTAACCTACAGAGAGAGATATTTGTCAGGGAGGTTGGACTAAGTTTGCCAATATTATGGATAAATAATTTAAAAAATGATTTATAGATGTCATCACTGCACAACTCTACAACACCCTAGCAAGGGGTACAAACTATAACATAATATATGATGATATAATCGTTCCAGATTCACAGTGATTAGGATTTGGTAATCTTTTGTTAATTTTACCTTCTTTATTTCACATTGCTGCAAAAATGAATCAATGAAAAGATTCGAGACAAACACAATGGCTGTAAAACGGCAAATTAGAGTATAAATATAAATCCCAATGTCTAGACCAGGGGTTTCAAACTCAAGGGCCGGGGGCAAAATCCGGCCTGCAACTTCATTTGATGTGGCCCCGCAAGAGCTTGCAAAGAATATAATATGTTTATTATACGGTTACATGCCACTTTACAGAAGCAGGTTGCCCATAAACTACATGTCCCACAATGCATCTCGTTGTGTGATATGCACACTGAAGAGACTTGCAATTATTTGCCTGGACTTCTGCTTTCAGACGTAGTTAATTACTAAGTTATTATCCTATCCGATAATAATTCAATTCAGAGGCAATAATGTAATATAATACATTATTTTATATATTTATTATATATTTATATAGTTACAACCGGCCCTTTGAGTGCAACCGTTATGCGAATGTGGCCCGCGATGAAATTGAGTTTGACACCCCTGGTCTAGACCAACTGTTGTGCAATTTGAACACTTTTAACAATAAGCAAATCTTTTTCATGTTCAAGACTGTTATCCCAAACACGATCAGCATGTTTATTTTTCTTTTGCTGTCAGCAACTTCACTCTTTGGTTCACTCTCACTCTAGTAAGTTTCCAAACATAGCAGGAAGTGGTTTTCAGTGAAAATGAAACTGTAGAAAAAAACAAACAAGAAAGCCAAAGTTAGAGACTAACGGGAACATAACATTTAGCAGCTAATGAGCTTATCGTTTGTCCTAAAGGAGCTAGGGGTGAGCAAATTGAGCAAATAGAAGGGGGAATAGTGGAAATAAATCCATCTCAAAACTTCAGATGAATGCTTATGCATTTCTTTATCTACTGGATAAACTATTTCCCAACCAGAAAAACTGTGTTTTGCATTTACAAATTATTGTATTAACTCCTATTCGCAAAAGAAACCCCCAAAAATATTTAATGTAGGTTTAATATTAAGCTTAATACAGGGTTCTTACACCTTTTCCAAAGTCAAATTAGGGCTGGGCGATTTGCCCTAAAAATAAAATCTCGATTTTTTTTCTAACTAATGGCCAATTTTCGATTTAAACCTCGATTTGTTTCTGTTTTTTTCTAAACAAACCAGACCAAGGCAACATTTAAATACATATTTTCTTTATTAACACAATAAAAATAAATGAGATTACCAAGTAGTCTAGGCCTATGTGAACAAATCAGTTGTTCAAGAATAAAAATAATAAAATAAAAACAGCACCACGGCACTTGGCTGTCATTAATGTGCAAAGATCTTTTTTAAATCTGAAAAAAAAATCTCTTTTAGGCCATCCCTGAAAAAACTTGTAAAATGAAATACAACAAATAATAAATAATGATAATGAAATGAATAATAAAAAAATACCCTCAAACAAAATAACATCCCTTTAACTTTCTAGGAAGTTGTCTACAGGTTTTTCGCGAGGAAGACAAGCCTGTCTACTGCCTCTGGCTTGAGGCATGCTCTTTGGCATGTTACCCCCCGTACTGAAAACCCTCTCCGACGGGTGGCAGGAATGGAGAGATATTTCTTGGCCAGATTACTCAGTCTTGGGAAGTTAGCTTCATGTAGCTTCCACCACTGCAGTGGGTCTGTCTCAGGGTCTGTCTCAGACGACAACAAATAGGATGACAGCTCAGCTTCAATTTTGTCCTGCTCTGACTGGGAGGTAGACGACACTGTCAGTGTCGTTTGTTTACAGACGTGGGTAGCATGAGACAACATCAAGAACTACCGGAAATGAAACCAGCCGTGAAGTATTTCCTGTATTTTTTGGAGTATTGATTACAGCGTTCAAAACCATATTAAATGAAAAGTCATGAACGAGATAAGGAGGAGAAAAAGCGTGTTTAGTTATATATTTAATGTACAATGTCTGAATCCTCTGTTATGAGCAACAACGAACATTGGAGACGTGGAGGGCCGGCCCCCAGCAGCGCCAACCGGCACATAGGGAGGAGCCAGCAGAGGAGATATAACAGCTGGAGAGGTGGAGCTTGCTCTATTCCCTTTGCTCACCCAGAACACAGCTGTTTTTCTGACTGAACAACATCCTGCTTGTAACATACCCGCACCTTTTTTAATTAAAGCACCATTTGAACCTTCTCAGAGAGTCCATTTAGTCTCCTTTTAAAGCTTCTCTCCTGGACGTGAGAATAACGAACACAGCATAACAACAGCAGATCGGGCAGAGCTGCAGATCGGGTAGTCACAGGCAATGTGGCTGAGTTTTGTGCGCGTTCTGGAAAGTGAGAGAGTAAGCTACTACGGAGTCCCTTAAAGCAAAACAAATCTGCGGAGTCTAGAAATGTTTTTAAAATCGCGATTTTTCGGTTCAGCCATTTCACAAACCGTAGGAAAGTAAAAATGCAAATTAATCGTTAAAATCGCCCAGCCCAAAGTCAAGTTCAAGCACTTTTCAAGCATCTTACAGCTGATGTAAATTACATATTTATATACACATACTTATACTCAAATGATTATTTCCCTACCTCACATTAAATCAGATGTTCTTTATGCTAGTATAAACAACCAAATGTGTGTTTCGTGATAGCATTCTACACAAGGATGAAAAATTAAAGAAAAGAAAAGTAAGTTTAATATTTCAAAATGAGTGATCTGTACGTAGACTAGGCCTCCCATATGACCTGTCTGAGCCAATATAAAACAATCAGCCAAATAACTTTTCAATACATTATTGATTACTATTTTTGAGGTACTTTTAGGTTGGAAGTGAACATAAGTCAGAGGCACATGGTGTACTTTTCCTCCACTATATGTATTTAATCCCTTTAGTTACTTCACAGATGTGGATGAATGATGTGAAATCTAATCAAGTGTTAAATCAGACTTTAGTTCCACCTGGAGTAAATCCACCAGCTACCCTGCAGTATACAAAGTCATTCAAACTAGCTGCACCTTTACCAGCTTTGAGAACACTTTCATGATCAATCATTATAAAACATATCATATATATTATTCTGAAATGGACCAATCTGCACAATCACTACTTTTACTGTCGCTACTTTCACTATATTTGGATGAGAATACTTTTGTACTTTCACTTGAGGAACATTTTGAATGCAGGACTTTTACTGTAACAGAGTATTCCTACACTCTGGTACTTCTACTTTTACTCAAGTATAAGATCTGAGTACTTCTACTTGTACTCAAGTATAAGATCTGAGTACTTCTACTTTTACTCAAGTATAAGATCTGAGTACTTCTACTTTTACTCAAGTATAAGATCTGAGTACTTCTACTTTTACTCAAGTATAAGATCTGAGTACTTCTACTTTTACTCAAGTATAAGATCTGAGTACTTCTACTTGTACTCAAGTATAAGATCTGAGTACTTCTACTTTTACTCAAGTATAAGATCTGAGTACTTCTACTTTTACTCAAGTATAAGATCTGAGTACTTCTACTTTTACTCAAGTATAAGATCTGAGTACTTCTACTTTTACTCAAGTATAAGATCTGAGTACTTCTACTTTTACTCAAGTATAAGATCTGAGTACTTCTACTTTTACTCAAGTATAAGATCTGAGTACTTCTACTTTTACTCAAGTATAAGATCTGAGTACTTCTACTTTTACTCAAGTATAAGATCTGAGTACTTCTACTCAAGTATAAGATCTGAGTACTTCTACTTTTACTCAAGTATAAGATCTGAGTACTTCTACTTTTACTCAAGTATAAGATCTGAGTACTTCTACTCAAGTATAAGATCTGAGTACTTCTACTTTTACTCAAGTATAAGATAAGTATAAGAGTACTTATTCCACCTCTGGTAGCGTATTATCCTGAATTGTAGCCACAGAATCACGCAGAGCTGCATAGAAATAGACCCTAACCCTTTGTAGGTAATTTGGACTGCTCAAGACACCTGACTTAGACATCTTCAAAGGAAGACTGTGTTTATTCTACAATTACATGGGATTAAAGCTAAATGTAGTTTTGCTTGTATAATACTTCAATTTTATATAAAAGACAGTTTGTTTTCAAATAAACAAAGTATTGGCTTTCAGAATATTAAACTTGTTTCGGCAAATGTAGATGATAAATACAACTTTGAAGCTTCGGCATAATTACAAGCAGAGAACGGACTAATGTAACGTCACAGCAAGCAACAGCCGGTGTTTCTTGTGAGTGTTTCCCCGGTACACAAACGCAAAAATACACAAACACACTCGCGAGCTTCCCCCAGACCAGTAATACAAACGAAAATGTGTCTTCGGGTCAATGTGACTGATTTCGATAGAGCAAGTCACATTTGGTTTAGGTACGAGACATACTACCAGTAGAAATACATTGCTTTCAAAATCGCTCTGTGTCGAATCAATAGATTATATTTCGTGACTATAACACAAAATGCCGTGAGTGCTTCATCCTCTGAACACCACAGGATGGCGACTGTAACGCACATAACATAGGTACGCTCCTCTGAAATGATTGTCCCCTGCAATTATTATTATCCCTCATCGAGTTCGCTATTCAGCTCGCTAACGTTAGCTTAAACAAACGTAACATGCAACGTTAGCCTAATCTAAAATGCTCAACTACGGCGTACCTTTCATGTGGCTCGTCAGCGCAGACTCTCCCATCGTTATTTTTGCAAACTTTGCAGGAGGCTACTCGTGGGCTTGACCCTCGTCTTAGCCATGGCTTGTATTTGTCTTCTGCTAGCCAACGCTCGTTGAAACGGCAACCTCCTGGCACACAGTCATTTATCACTCATCAGAATGCCCAGGTCACACGTAACACAAACACTTGCAGGTCGCGCGCATAGCGCGGGAAGGTGCAGCGGAGCTGTTTTATGTAGAAGCGAAGCAATTAAACTCGCTCCGACTTCTTTATTTTTCTTTTAATCTAAAAAGTGAAGTACAGCATTTACAATTTCAAGCACTTTATCCCAAATTCAAGCACCATTTCCAAAATTCAAGCACTTTTCTAACCTTGAAAACACCTCATACAATTTCAAGCATTTCCAGGGATTTCCAGCACCCGTACGAACCCTGTTAATAGCAACATTATACAACTTTTTACCTTTATACAACTGCTTCCAACTCTAACTCTATGATAATGCAGCAATACATTGATTTTGGTAAATATATAGAATTCAACCCCTCCCAAAAAAATCGATAGTAAATAAGTGTTAGCTATTTTTTGAAACGTTTTACTACTTTACCTAGCTGTCAGGACCTGCAGCTGTTCCCTAAACTCCAGTCACAAACCACAATACAGTCATTTTGACCTTGCGGAACACAGGAGTTTCTAGTCTACAGCTGCCCCCATTAGCTCATTTGATTTTGTTGTGTGACTGAACTACCCGTTTAAAAAAACACTATCATCACTGACATCACTGACGTACAGTAGGCCAAGCAAACACCATAATAACAAATAAATATGAAAAGCTTTATTTAATTTCTCTATGAAATCTATATCACAACAAACTATCACTTGTTGAATGACAGCCTACATTTGCAGCCTTGCCGTTTATCTAGCTTTATTTTTTTCCTCATAAGCACCAACCAAAAAGATTCTTGCTCTCAAGCTTCAGTCTGACAGCAACATCCAGCTCATACCAGCCAATACACTCAAAGAGATTTCATTTTCGCTCTTTGTAATGATATTTCCCATCCAAAAAACACGGCTGTAAGCAGCTTCTGGTGGGATGTTTAAATATTTTCAACTGGAAGGGCTCATGGCTCATGGCTCATGGCTCATGGCTCATGGCTCATGGCTCATGGCTCATGGCTCATGGCTCATGGCTCATGGCTCATGGCTCATGGCTCATGGCTCATGGCGGGCGCACAAAAAAGGTGAAGCAGCTCTTTTTCTGGAAGTTGCTTCACGCAAAAAAGACAAAGGCTTGAATTGAAGCACGATGTGGATACAGGGACTTCCTGTAAAACAAGCCAAACTCACCATGTATCACCAGTACAGCCAGCTGAGTACATCTCCATGCCAACAGGACCAAGGGGTCTTCGTTCCGATTGATGCTGAGGTCGGGGAAGTCGGGGTCATCCCTCAGGAGCAGGAAGTGCGTCAGTGTTTTTTTGTACTGCTGAGTGATGAGCTCCAAGGTGCCGTCGGTCACCAGTGTGCTGTAACTGTCCAGGTGGAGGCGCTCGAGAGGGAGGCTGGGCTTCAGGACTCGGAGGAGCTCGGAGCTGTCGACCTCCAGGGCCATGAGGTACACTCGCAAGTTGGTGCTCGAACAAATCTGGGGAGGAGTAGGCAAACTTGAGTGGTGCACATGGAGACTTGAACCTTTTTTTTTTGTGTGTGGAGAAAACAGCTAGAGGAGTCTGGTAAATTCAGAAAATGACATCCTATTAAAGTCATGCAGCCTTTAAAACCAGGAAAAAACACTTATTACCGTATGAGAAATCTGAGTTGATATATATTGTCATATCCCGATATCGGGAAACAAAGAAACATCTTGCATTACCAGGGATTTCCAATCTTCCTCGGTAGCGGTCCCTTCCAGCGGTTTGAACTCCAGGGCGGCGCCGTTGAGCAGCAAGGACAGGCGGTGCAGTGGAATTCGGCGCGGAGATGCTAGCAGAGCGCAGAGTTCGGACGTCAAATCGGAGAAATCCAGAGCCAGAGAACGAAGATTAGACAGACGACTCAACTCTGAGGGTGAGATGAGGGGACCTGATGGAGATTCAGGAGAGGGCAAAGGTTGAATAAACATAACACATCACTAATGAATATCTAAGGCCGTTTTTGACGGACTTGAACGTAAAAAATCAGTTGTAGTCCGAAAATGTTAAGTCATAATGTCCGGTGAAAATAATTCCACTAAGCACAATTTGAAGTATATTAAAATAGACAAGTCGGCACACAGACCTATATGTATGTTGGTCTGTTTACAAATAGTTTTTATTCTATTTTATTTTATATAAGAATATGAAGGCCTGAGGGAAACTCTTTGTTTTAAGTGTTACAACTTATTCATGTTTTTGAAAAGCCTACTGATGTTTTATTGGAAATACAAAATCGACATGCTTTGCTGGCAATTCTTTATATAGCCTTCCTATCAATTGTTTTCAAGCTTAATAACAAACACAGATAACATTTAACTGGAATATCTTGTTGGCAGCAATAGAATATTCCCAAAATGTAGAATGGCACTAAAACACTGTTCTATGAGAACAACTGCTAATAATTTAAATGAATACAATCGATTCGTTTTTATTTTATAACTACATTTAAACTTACAGTCAAAGTCATCCAGAATGACACCAACACATACCTAGCTGGTGGTCCAGTAGGCTGAGGTGTCGCAGGGTCTCAGCTGAGGGGTTTGACAGACAGGCGAAGGAGCAGGGAGTCACCAGACCCAGCATGAAGCTACAGGACAACCACCTCAGCTGCCTGCTGTTAGACAGCAGCTCCATGAACAACTGCTGGATTCTGCAGAGAGCACAGGGGAGGAGAATTAGCTCATACTCACTTTAGCAGCTGGATTACAGCTTCTTGACATCATAAAAGCAGTATATACCCAAATAAAAGAAAATGTGAATCTCCAGGTAAACCTTGTGGATGAAGAATTTAAAAAAGGGTTCCTATATATTTGTGCCAAGTGAAAGATGTGCGGGTAGTCCTACAAAGCAGAACATAGAACATATGAAACAACATGATATGTTCATGTGATGCCACCCACCTCACTACCACAGAGCTGCAAAACAAACCCTCACTGGCTGCTATGAATAGGAAATACTGATGCGATAATAAGAGGAAAGGCAATTGAAATGCTGTGTGTTCTGCTCTAGATCAGTGGTTCCCAACCTGGGGGGCACGCCAGGCCTCAGATGATTTGAGGGCAAATATCATATTTAGACTTTTTTTTTAACATAATTGTAACGCAATACATGATTGTCGCTAAAAGCCTTGTCTATACATTACAATCAAATATAAAAAAGAATTGATTAATTAATTTTAATAAAAATTCAAGTTAGTAGCTACAGATGTAGCATTCGAGAACAGACTCCAGCCAACGGCTTCCTGCCAACGACCCAAGGATCCCAGCGGCTGGGAACGTTAAGCCCTCCCACTATTTTACAAGAGGGCGTTGCCAGATTTTCAATTTCAGGATTGAACCATTAGATGGCGCTTCATTCACAAATACAGAAAGACAAGTTTCATGGACTTTCAGTACTTCAGTTGTGTTTTGGTGAAGAGCATTTGAACACATATTTGTTATGGTTTTCACAGGCTACTACAGTATAACGAAAACACATCAATATTTTAGATCAAATAAAGTATATCTAATCTTGTAATTCAATAATATATAGTCTTTATATATTAAATAATCATAATAATAAGGTAAATGTTTACACTTCTTTATTTGTTATGCTCATACTTTTACAATAGTTTGCTTTAATATGCAGTATATTTTTTGTAATATTTGTTTGGTGTTTGCTTCCTCCTGCTTTCTTTCGGACACATACTGTATGATTTATTATTATTATTATTAATATGAACATATTATTAAGATAAGATAAGATGTTACTTTATTGATTGAACATTTTTGTTTAGAGTTCTCAGGTCACATTCCGACCATTATTTAAAACAATAGGTGCTTTCACACCGTCTACAGTTTGATGTGTATAGAGGGAGCTGTGGCTGAATGGCCGGCGATTAGGTGTGGCGCATTTATCATAGGTGATCAGAGCTAACTGCCTGCCGTCAGATTTCATTTAAAAAACAGGTCTGATTTTAAGATCCTAAAATAAATACAAATAGCCTATATGTGTAGTGTAGGGTTGGGAGGGTTACTTTGTAAATGTAATCAGTTACTGATCTGATCTGAGGGTTAACTGATTTGAATCGGCAAAATCCGGCTTACTTTGAGCATGTGTTTTAAACAGTTTAATCCCTTTGTAAATTGTTTCCACTTGCGCCGACCTTTAATTTCTTCATACAGCGGGAATCTAAATAAATTAATCCTGAGTCCAATAACCATCAAAGTCACTCCAACAGTGCTCCTTAATTACGCTTTCATCCTCCTTTAACAACATACTTCACATTCATCCAGTTTGTGACAGTAGTTGTAGCATTTTTTAGGCTTGTGTGTGTGTGTGTGTGTGTGGGGGGGGGGGCGCAACTTCCAACAGGAGTCATTTGGGGGGGCTCTTGGGAAAAAGGTTGGGAACCCCTGCTCTAGATCAATGGGCTGTGAATGTTGAAAGGCCATTATAAGCAGGGGTGCCCATAACTTTTTTGCCCTGGTTCTCAAAGGAGCACCTGGAGATGTTGCTTGGTGCTCATCCTTAAAACACACGGCACTGAACACACATGCAGAGGTGAACACAGAACACACATGCAGAGGTGCACACAGAACACACATGCAGAGGTGCACACAGAACACACATGCAGAGGTGAACACAGAACACACATGCAGAGGCGAACACAAGACAACATTAGCACGACCAGTAATCCTACAAGCTGTCATCACTACCCTCCTGACTGTTCTCCTCACTGTCTTCCTCTCTGTCAGACATGGTAGCTGATGATGTAGGCCTACTACTTTCTCTCTGGTTGAGTCTGCGATTAGCTGCTTGCATCCACAAGTCAACAGCTGGTTTTGGGTCGAAAGTCTCTATTGTCATCTTAGAAAAGTGGATGTAATCAAATAAGTATGTGAACATAACCAATAACCTACCATAGCCAATAACAAATGAATGTAACTTATTTTATTTGTGTTGTTCATTCATATCTTATTTTACCTTAACATTTATTTATTTATGCATTTTTTTTATCTCCAGTTTTAAAGGATATTTTTGGTTACTGTCCTATAGTATACATTGGAATGATTTAAAACCTGTTTATCCCAATAATTATAAAGGAGTGCCTTGGAAATATTTGTTTACATAAATTGTGACCAAACCGTTTGAACTTAGACTTTACCTCACTGAGCTGTAGTTATCGGTCTGACTGGAGAGGACTCTCCCTCCACATTATTGTAGAAACATCTTCTTCTTATATCCATTAGAGCAGCTAGCACGGCACCAGATTCTAATAACAACAGCGCTGGTACCGGTGCACCCTCCCTCTCTCCCTCGCATTTTGGCTGTGAGCTGCGGGCGCCAGATAAGCCAACATCCCCCATTTTCATCACTTACAGCGCCCATCGTACAGGGCAAATGAAACGTGTAACCGGGGTGAAAAGGGTGTTACATTTACTTAATTATGAATATTGTTACATCAAGGCCGAAAATTAGGATGAGCCCCAACGGTCAAAATGTTTTTATCCCTCCCAGAGCTGCCAGCGCAGCGACTCCCCAGATCTGGCGCCTTAGGCGAACATCTAGCCAGCGCTACGGGCCGGCCCTGAGTTCATATCATGGTTCATATGCAACTCGCAAATATCTTTCTTTCTTTCTTTCTCTCTCTCTCTCTCTCTTCTCTCTCCTCTATTTTCTATTTTCTCTTCTCCCTTCTCTCTCTCCCTCTCTCAATGTTGGTACGCAAATGCGCTTTGTTTCAAATGACCCGGTGCTCTTTTTTTGGCGGAGGTGCGCATGCGCAGCTGCAGTTATGTGCAGCCCTGATTATAAGGAAACCCTATGTTATTTTTCTCATATTTGAGAGAACTAGCATGAACGATACTTCCGATTCGACTTGCTATTCGTATTGCCAGCATTTGACCTGCATTGTTTTACTGCTTCTATGAATGCACCATGTTTTGAGTTTGATTGCATGTGGCTATGCTCAGGCTTACTCATTGATCTTTTTATCCCCCTGGTGAATTTGGTGCAGGTTGGAGCTGTCCAATAGTCCCTCTTGCTGGAGAACGCAGGTGTCTCCATAAAGACTCAGCTTCCGCAGGTTTCTGGAGAAAGATAAAGAGCCAATGTTAGAAATGTAGGAAAAAATGGTTTTAATAATAGATGCACATATGCTTATATTAGGAATGCTCCGATCGCCAATTTTGGGGCCGATACCGATCCGATCAAGTGGGCGGGGCCTATGGGGATCTTCCATTTAAAGTGATGTTTAAAACTCAGTTAATGGGGCTCATTCACTGGCGCTTCCACACACAACAACCATGCCTTCTACATCAACAGGTAAGCAAGTGATATTCTTACCAAATAACAGCGTGCAATGATAGTCATTAGGGGGTGCTGTGGGGTAGCTTGACGTTTCATAGAGGGTGCTCACCATGAAGGGTTTCCCATTAATGCACCAGCGCTACAGTTGAATTTTCTACTGCAACACTCCCCACACGCACACACAGTGTACCCGCTACAATGAAGGCTCGATAATCAGCTCACGGCATATAGGTGTAAGCAGGGGTAAAGTGCTATTTTTACAAGTGGGGGGTGGACCTCACCTCCTCTAGTGGGGTCCGGGGGCATGTTTCCCCCGGGAAGATTTTTTTTTAAATATTGAAGTTAAAAGCATCAATCTGGTGCACTTTGAGAGCAACATTAAGAGATCTGTGGATACATCTCTCAACACCCATGAAACAGAACTGTCAACAGATGTTCTATTTCTTTATAGATATTTTACAAATCACTCCCCTTTTAAAACAAACCGTTTGAGACCCACTGAGATAACTAGACTACAGTGAACTATCCAAACACTGAGAGAGTGCTTTACTTCACCTGAGCTTATCTGAGACTCTCAGTCTGACAGGAGAGAGTTCTCCCTCCACCTTGTTGTTGAAAAAGCTCCTTATATCCGTTAGCTTGGCTAGCTAGCACCAGATGCTAACCACAATGACACACACACACACACACACACACACACACACACACACACACACACACACACACACACACACACACACACACACACACACACACACACACACACACACACACACACACACACACACACACACACACACACACACACACACACACACACACACACACACACACACACACACACACACACACACACACACACACACACACACACACACACACACACACACACACACACACACACACACACACCCTTTGCTGGCGGCATATTCATTACAAAAGACACTCGCTAACCCTAACCCTAACCCTAATGTTTATTTGTAGATATCTCCTAAAGCCTACAGATAAAGTGTGACATGTAGGCCTGTTACATTTGTTATTGAGCGATATATATTATACACACTGTTCTGCTTTCTGCACTGACCTCAGCAGCTGTTCTCACTGTAACATCACCTAACATCCAGGGGACATGTGATTAGTGAGTAAACAAACGGTAAAGGGCAGAAAGTGTGATGCACATTTGATCATCTCAAATAACTTATAATCACAACGGGAACAGTTTGCAGAGCTGTGCTTTGTTGACAGAAGTCCAGCCATGCGTCACACCTCTTTTAAACATCACTGTTGGCTGAAATCGTCTCAGGAGAATACTTCAGTGTACCCTCGGTTATAGCTCCTCCAGAGAGACTCCTCTCTCCTCTAAATCAGTGTATCCTCGGTTACGGCTCCTCCAGACAGCCTCCTCGATAATCGATCCTCGACGACCCTTTAGAGAAATTTGTTTTCCTTCGACATCCGTTTCCGGGTCGCTGCCGGAGCACCTGGGACGCGAAAATTAGAGAAATGACAAACGGCTCATTTCCCAGGACTCGCGCACGTCTGCTTGACGCCGGGACGACCTGCCGCCCTCCCCGACAGGCGCACGGACGCGAGGGCCCGCTCATCACTGCGCGCACAAGTGCGACCACAGTTTTAATTATTATTATTAGGTTATGTCCTATGTGTTGGACATGTGTGGTTGGACTCTGTCTCACAGGCAGGTTGCAGTGTAACATCAGAGGAGACTGGGCCAATTGTACATTCTCAAACTGCACCAGAACTAACTAAACAATGCAGAGATTATTTTTATATAATTGTATTCAATAACCGTAAGAAATTAAACAGTATGAAGTGATTTGTAAATAGGAATACAGATTTGACTTAATGTTTTCATAAATATATTTTTCTCCCAGTTTGACTTATTTTTACCCTCTCAAAGAACCGGAATCGAGAACCGAAAATAACCGGAATCGAAAAGCAGAACCAGAATCGTTAAAATCCAAACGATACCCAAACCTATGTGTGATGCAGTAAAATCTTACCGCTCACTTACGTTAGCGGTGTCGTAAAAACCGTGGGAAAATGTAAAATACGATGGCGAAGAAGAAGATTCCAGTGGCCCCAAATATTTGTCCATTCTGAACAAGTGAAAAATGTATTCGGACAAGTAAATTGCCAAACTCACTTGTCCATGGACAAGTACTCTCTAAAAACTTTTTCTCACACTGAAAGGACTCTGAGTGTTTAGATAGTTAATTTTAGTCTAAATTATCTCAGTGGGTCTCAAACGTTTTGACCACAATTTATGTAAAACACATATTTCCAAGGCACTCCTTTATAATTATTAGGATAAATAAAAACAGGTTTGAAATCACTCCAATGTATACTATAGGACAGTAACTAAAAATATCCTTTAAAGTTGGAGAGATACAAAAATATGCATAAATAAATAAATGTTAAGGTAAAATAAGATATGAACGAACAACAAAAATAAAATAAGTTACATTTATTTGTTATTGGCTATGGTAGGTTATTGGTTATGTTCATATACTTATTTGATTATTAAAATGTAAACCGATCTTTTTCATATGGGTGTTTTAGAGTTGTACCCCCTAGATCAGGTCTCTAGTAATTGTGTGCTCAAAGTGCACCAGATTGAAGCATTTTACTTTAAAATGCATACCCCCGGACCCCCCTAGAGGATGTGACGTCCACCCCCCATTTCAAACATGTTCATACAATACTGAATACATTTGAAGCCATTTTGACGTATATGACCTATGTCAATAAGTTTCTGTTTTTGTAGTGTATTTGTCTTTTGTAGAGATTTTTCATTTATTCTTTATAAAATCTCGCCTAGGGCAGCAAATTGGCTAGAACCGGCCCTGGTACTAGGCCTCAAGAGCCTTTCTTGTGCTGGCATACACACAGAAACAAATTAGCGGGGCGCACTTCGCACGTGCACACACTGAAAAATTCCACGCGCTCCACGCTCACATTGTGCTGGGCCCACGTGCCTTAGCACCGCTGCTATGACTCCATCCTAGGGGAAACACTGTAGATGGATATTTGCTTATCATGCGAGAACTTGCACTTTGCTGCACCTTCTGTCCAGAGCCCTTTACATCCTGGTGCCCAAAATAGATGTGACATTATCTTTTGCAATATTGTCTGCTGCTTTATTATCTAATGCATCTGATTACATAATGTCTGTTATGGTTTTAAAAACGATGTTTAGAAGATAAAAGTTGTACATTGAGGGAAATAATTGTGTGCAACAATGATGTAGGCTTGTACCTGTATGGTACAATGTTCATTATGTTCGATGAAGCCCACTTTCTGTAAATGAAAAGAGGGCTAAGCTTCACAAAGAGCCTCTGCAGAAACCAACAGCAGTCTTATGTGCAGCTACTTAGTGTGCAAAACCACTAGTAAAGGAACAATTGGTTATCTATTCTCGTTTTTTTTACATGTTACAGTACCAAAGGAGTTGGACTGATGTTAGCTGAATGAAAAACTTCAGTATCCTCATATGATAACATGGATTCCTTAAGATAAGGTGGGAAATGGATTTAAAAATGTGTTTTGTTATATTTCTTGAATTCCATTTCTATCAATATATCAAAATCCTTAAACTATATGTCGCTGGTGATGGACTGTAATAAGTCGACTTGCCTTACAACCTGCGTGCAATTTGCCTAGCCATAATTGCCTTTCTAAAAGTACTAACAATAGCCAAGTTTGCTGTTTTGTTTTATTATTATTATTATTATTATACGTTAAAGCAGGGGTACTCAAATAAAAATCTTAAAGGTCCAAAATAAATGTTTCAATAAGACAAAGGTCCGTTTATTACGGTCATTCAAACTTTTAAACAATAGCAACAAGATTCTTAACACGAGGTTGCAAAAACAAAAATAATCTGTATGCAACAGTTTTCATTGTTATTGTGTCTGTGCTTGACCCCTCAGAGTCGAAGTGTAAGTATGGAGGACGGAACATGACTTAAGTATAAATAAATAAATGTATGAAGAAATACAGGAATAAATAAATAAATACGTAAATAAATAAATAAATACAGGAATAAATAAATGACGAAATAAATACAGAAATAAATAAATGTTGAAATGAATACACAAATAAATAAATAAAAGAATAAATGCATAAATAAATATGGAAATAAATACATCAATGTATAAATAAATAAATAAAAGTCGAAAATAAAACAGAACACACGTTATTATATATCTTTCATTTATTTCTACATTTACGCGACATACATTTATTTATTTATTTATGTGTCCGTATGCTAATGAGGTGGGCGGTCCTAACCTCAGTCTGAAGCAGGATTCGCCAATTGTTGGAGCCAGACAGAAGCAATAGATTTGTGGCAAGTCACATCATGTCGAGCTGAGCCAAGTCCTCTATACATCGTTCCACACGAAACTGGACATAGTCTTTTGGTTCTCCGTTCTCTAAATGGTCCGCTAATGATCGTAAATGATCTCCAATGGCTCTTAAATCAATATCCATAAATAAACCTTACAACTGTGGATAAACCATGGATGTATAAAGATAAGGGCTAAACAGTAAAGCTCCTGCATTCGAATCAGCGCGGTTATCCAGGCGTTAGTAGTAGAGCCCTCTGCCAGAAATGATCACACACTCCTGTAACCAATCCTGCTTCAGACTGAGGTTAGGACCGCCCACCTCATTAGCATACGGACACATAAATACATAAATAAATAAATGTATGTCGCGTAAATGTAGAAATAAATGTGTGTTCTGTTTTATTTTCGACTTTTATTTATTTATTTATACATTGATGTATTTATTTCCATATTTATTTATGCATTTATTTATGCATTTATTCTTTTATTTATTTATTTGTGTATTCATTTCAACATTTATTTATTTATTCCTGTATTTATTTATTCCTGTATTTATTTATTTACGTATTTATTCCTGTATTTCTTCATACATTTATTTATTTATACTTAAGTCATGTTCCGTCCTCCATATGTAAGAGCTGCACAGTTATGAATAAAGGCAGCTGCATACTCTTTCATTCAGCATTCCCATTATTGCTTTATAAATGTCTTGCCCCCTTGTGTGTCCACTGAGGTTCGTCAGGCCCAACACATCTTCAACAAACTCCCCCTTTGCCTCATCATAAAAACTCACAAACACCAGCAACTGAGCATTGTCAGTGGTGTCAGTGGACTCACCCACAGCTAAGGAAATGCACTGTGCATTTGTTATTCCATCACAAAGCTGATGAATCAAATCACCAGCCAGTATTTATGTTCTTCTGGTTGCTGTGGAATCTGAGAGGGGGATTTGCTTGATTTAACCTGTTATTTCCTCTTTTTGTTTGCCTTCAACATGGTCTCCATCACTTCAGACTAGTGTTGTCACGATACCAACATTTTGGTTTCGATACCGATACCAAGTCAAGAATTGCGATTCCGATTCTTTTTCGATACTTTTCTTAAAAAAAGGGAAACAATCTTAAATGTAATTATTGTGCTTTATTTCACACCAGAACCATAACCATAACACAAACTTTTAAACAATGAAAATAATAAACAAAATAAATGATAAGAATTCGTATTAAATCAAATTAAGCATCATCTCAAACAACTTTTTTATTTTATAAAATATAATTGTTTTAATATTTTATTAACATGTAATAGTACAGTAATATAAATAATTATTAACAAAATATATATTTCAGATGTTAGCCACATTGGTAAGTTAGCTAAAAAGATAGCCATATTATACAGTTATCATTGCCATTAATTGCCTCGTCAAACAACGAAAACGATCGTTTGTCACAAAATAAATTACACTGGTTTGACTTAGATTTGAGGGCATGGGCTGAGCATGATGTAATTATGTTATCTATCACATTCGCTAACCTGTCTGTCTCTGGATGCCGGTCGGCGAGGTGCTTAGCCAAGTCTGATGTGTTGGCTCCCTTGGTTTGCAGGGATCTAAAACATTTCTCACAGACAGGCCTCGTGGTGTCCGTAGGCTTGCCCTCACTGTCAGAGATATAGCTCAAATACTTCCAAATTTCGCTTCTGGCGTCTTTTTTGTCAACAAGCCGAGGCGCAGCGGCAGTTGCACTCCCACTTGCAGCCATGCTTCTCGTTTTCTCACATGCTCTGGCAGCTAGCGCGTGGCCGAGTGCACGAGAGAGGGGAGGGACTTAGAGCGTGCTTGAGAGGGGAGGGACTGCAGGCACGGCTGCAGTGCAGGGAGTGGAAGCAGAGCGCTGAACACACACGGCTCTTTATTAAAACGGCGCTTTCTCACCGGAGTACTTTTCCCCGTCATTCTTAAAGTACCGATACTAATGAAACGGAGGAATCGTACCGTTTGTAACGGCAGGGTATCGCGGTACCTTTCAAGTATCGGTACACCGTGCAACACTACTTCAGACATGCATTATTTTATACTTCAGTTATTATCCAGTGGAAAGTCCTTACCTACTGGCCTAGTTCAATCAAAGTGGTTACTTTTTTTTGGCTGGGCAGTGTAGTTTTACACACCGTCTTATTTGACTTTCTCAGGACTTAAAACAGTTTTTTGGGGGCAGAAGAAAAAGAAGAAAAGAAAAAAATATATTTACACACGTAAGGTCATCATCTTAATAGTTTTGTATGCTCATCCGTGAGGAGAGCATCAAGTTGATATGTCTGATACAGCTGAATGCGGCGATTACCATCTTGTTCAGCAAAACGCCTCACAAACGTATTAAGATCAACAGCTTTAGTGCGTTTTGATTCAATGCTGAGTACAGTCAAACTGACAGTCTCTTCTCTGTCATTGTAGACCGCAAATACCTCATTCCTTCAGCGCTTGGGTCCGAATGCTTCTCGTTTTGCACCGTCCCGTTCAAATGAATTTGCTGCCAATCATATGTCCACGCTCGCGCCAGGACCGGGGGAGGGGTTACATGACGTGCATCTTGTGCTGCATTCACTTGCACTCGGACATTAGAGATTTTCTCTCATAAATGTCCGATGAGCCACAACTTTTCTTTCAAAACAAAGTTGCCAACTAAGGCCTATTTTTAGGGTGTCAGTTGCCACCCCGGTAGGTGAAACTAGGCTACTAGCTCCAGTACAGATGGAACTAGATGAGCTGTTAACTCTCGCTCTGAATTTTTTTTTTTTTAAACTCTCGCTCTGACTCAGACAGGTTGAAAGAGACACACACATTTTCCCCACCCACATTCCGCTAAGACCCGCCCTACTGTGCCTCTGATTCGCAGATTGTTTGGGGGGAAAAAACGCTGACGGGATGCTGAATGTGATTGGACCAAAGCGTTGACAGACACACACAGACAGTGGAACAGGACATGCAGAGCGCTGTTTGCAGGACATAGCGGATCATTTTGACTCGTTGCGTTGTTGCGAAGTCTCGCAGATAACACAGATAATACATATGAAAAGTGTAATTTGCTCAGAGTCCAGAGACCGTTGTGGTTCGGTCCGGATCCTTTTCAAGCACCAAAAAATTGTCCGGCTAGAGCAAAAGCACGGCATACGTCACGCTTACGTCAAGGCGGGGCAGGGGGAATTGGAATCGTCGTTGAAGTTGATGATTGCGATTGTAACGACTGTAAAGTTGGTAGTAAAGTCGTCCCATTTCTTCCATTTTGTTTCGACAGAGCAAAACCAAAACGAGTAGCGCTTCAACACAATCGGCCATTGTTGTTGTTGTCGGTGTGAGCTGTGAGGGGTTTCCGCGTGGTTTGGCTTTATGAAACAGGCACGCAAATGGTTACGTCATGACGCAAATGATGGCGCAGCACCAGTCGGACTCTGGGCGGTGTGAAAGAGCCGGAGCTAAACCGAAGAACCGGTTCTGAACCTGAAAAGCTCTAGCACGGAGCTTGAACCGGAGTTGCGTTGGTGTGAATGAGGTATAAGAGGTTTATTCTATGAAAAAAGTTTTACAAAACCAAATGTTTCCTTCTTACGCTTTAAGTTCGAATGAATACAAAAATGTTGAATAACATAATCGAGTCTGGCACATTTTCTCATAACATACTGCTAAAAATGCTCACTTGCCATGTCAACATTTTGTATTGCTGGTGCGCTAATAGAAGTCTGGAACTAGGAAACTTCACAGGACCTGCCGCAATATCTATTTTCTAGAGTTCTAGTAGTGTACTACAACATGCTACTTTAATGTACTAAATACTACGTTTCATGCCATGGCTTTCCTTTCTATACAAGAAATAAGCCAACTTTATTCTTTAGTACACAAAGTAAATGATACAAATCCTGCATCAACCAATGCAAAGCTGTTCAATGAGGAGAAGTGCGACAACTGAAACGGTTTCAAGCCCCCTCAGCAGAACTAAGACATGGACTGCACAACATTGGATGAATGCTGTTTTGACACTACAAAGCACTGTAGCGAATAATAAAGAATGTGGGAGAAGGTATTATATAGAGGAGTTATGCACTGAAACAGGAAACTTTGCCATTTAAATAAACATTTTACAGGAAACAACTTCCACAGCAGAAAGTGGCTAGAATATAAGTACGCAGCACATAGGTGATTATATCCAACAGTATGTAACGACATTCCAGAGCTAAATATATACACATATACACACACTGTATATGTGTGCTGATATCAGCAAGTTACAGCCAACAAAGCCTTCTCTAGCCACCAGCAGTACTGCATTGTATCTGCTGGTATGAAGACCCCAATGCAACGCAGAATATAGAACTGGCAACAATAGAAACGCAGGCAAGCGTTTAAACGTCGTCACATATGCATACACCACAAATATGTCATTATGTAAAAGTAAAACTGTAAAGGAAAGACAAAGAAATGCCTCCTGTTGTATTGATAATGCCCTCAGAGACATTTAGCGTCGGATGCTAACTGCACTGCAAAGACATGACCCTATTACGTAACGGCTAATGTCAGGGTTTGTTTATAGCTAACTATGCTAGCTTGCTGCGACGCAACAAATACTACGGATTTCAAAAAAAGCAGAGGGTGTCATGGGAATTACAGACATTGAATACAAATAAACACTCAGAAAGTGATTTTAGAGCAAGTTTTTCTGTAACATTACCTGTTGTTACGGGTGCTGGAGAACACACATAACACCTGGTCCAAGTAGGTGGCCATGGCGTCCCTCCATCGCTCGGAGAGCTGCGGGTCGCTGTCTGGCTGGTCCATCCTGGGGGGGGACGGGTCGTTGCTCAGGGGACTAAGGTAACCCTCCACCGGGGCAAGCTCCAGTTGCAGCTCCCGCACGAATGAACCAAACTTACGCATGAGGAACTCCAGCTTCGGGGTCTCCTCTGAGGTGGATCCGCCACCGTTACATCCACCACCTACCCGCAGCTTGAGCTCAGTCCACAGCGCGGGGTAAAAGAGACACTCCCTCCAGCGTGAGCACACAGACGAGGCCCGGAGCTTGTCTCGGTCGGACAGAAAGGAGAATATATGAACGATAAGCTCGCTGGGCAAAGCCATGGCTCCGATACCCTCACACAGAGCCATGGCAAGCAATGAAAGCTGCTTTGCGAGAACCAACCAGCTATAAAATAAATGGTACAGCCGTTTTAAAAAATTGGTGCTGCAGCAGATAACGGCAACGCTTCTTCCTCTGGGTGAAAACAAGTCGTTTTTTCAGCGTTGCCTTCAATACTATTGGACCGTACCACCACTTTTCAATGAAGGGGAACAAAACAATCCTCACGCAGGTTACACAAATCCCCTTTGCCACAAAAGTACCACTGTTTGTGAATTTTATCCTAAATATATTATTTATTTAATAATATGACGGCTCTTGTGATTTAAAAAATATATGTTTGGTAACTAGTGACTGTCACTGCATCGCAACGTTGTCAAGTGAATGGTTTAGTCCTGAAGTGCTGTTATTTTTGCCATACTGCCATACCCCCGCGGGAGGGCGCTGTTTTGCTGGTTTCAACACAGACACAACTCTTCTCCTTAATAATCAATGGATTACAACCCATCCAGGCTATGCACTCCACTTTAAACACGTATTACACAAGGTGGAAATAACCACAGCACAACAAAGTTAAAGTGATAACAGTTTGGCAGTCCTAACAAACTCCTATGCCTCACAAAAGTTTCAGGCAGTAGGCTGTTGCACTGGAAAGCATTAACATTCCTGGTATTTTATCTGACAGCTGTGCACCACACTGCAATCATACTGTATCTATAAACCTTCACCTCAGCCTTTTATTAAAGAAACCAATATATTATTTCAAAAACCAACACACATCTTAAGCCATATAACTAACAACAATACTGTAACGTTCCACAATAGGAGTCGGAAACAGGCCTCAAGTTATTAGGTTTAATAACTCCTTTGATAGCATACAGATGGTTCATAGGTCACAGGTTACATGTCGCAGGTTCAACATCACTCAGTACTCCACTCCCTAACTCTCTCACACACACACACACACACACACACACACACACACACACACACACACACACACACACACACACACACACACACACACACACACACACACACACACACACACACACACACACACACACACACACACACACACACACACACACACACACACACACACACACACACACACACACAGCAGGGTCAACGTCACACCCTCTTCAGCCCTCCCCCTCTGCTCCCCCAACCACAGGCCCACACACCGACCAGCAGTGGCGGCGCCAGAGTATTTTTGTTGGGTAATCTATAGTAGGGCTAACCCATACAGTGGTGGGGCTCAAGTCAGTATTTGTAATGTAATTACATACACGCTATATCGCACCCCTTGACAGTGAAACGCCAAGCGTGAGGCTTTTATTAGATTTTATTAGTCTCCTTTTATCAGCTAAATTACATCGAGAGCAACAGGTGTGAGTTAAACAATACAATAGCCTATTCTGCTAATTCCACGTTGTTACAACATGCTACGCAGCGGCAGAAACAAGAAAAGTTGGCATATACAGTGCTTGAATTGGAATGAAAAAGGTGCCAGTACTCTAAAATCAGCAACTTTTTCAAGTCAATTTTATATATACAGCCCACAAACAAGAATTTGGCTACTATAATGCTGGTGGGTTTGTCTCTTTACTACTGTATATTTTAGAAAGGTTCACTGTACTTAACATTTTTATGATAGGCAGCGGATATGGCTAAAGCTCAGTAAGGTCAATATTAACTGAAAATATAGCAATCAAAGTCTAGATCTTCTGCTGAAGACACATGAAGCAGAGACCTTTCAGGTGAGAGCCCCTCTGGTGGTGTTCAACATTAATGACAAGGAAACAAAGCTCTGGTCAGAAGCATTTTTTATAAAAAGCTTTAACAAAATTAAGTATTTCTGTACATTTTGAATGCAATCTAACTTTCCAACTCAGAAAACGAAAAACGAAAAAGTGCCAAAAGTCTTCTCACATGGCTGAGCTGCTTTGCAATATACTTCACCACTGAAGAATACAAATATGTATAAAGTAAACTATGATGCAATCTAACTTTCCAACTCAGAAAAATGATAAAGAGCATGAACAAAGAACATGTAAAAACAAATGCAAAATTTGCACAATCTAAAATGAGAAACTGTAACTGCAAGTAACAAAGTCTGAGCCATGGTAAAGAGTTACATTGAACACCAAGCTGATCAGATAACTCCCTGGTTGGTCTGAAGTCCTTCTATCTCCAGGATCTGTACAAATCGGCACATTATGCCAAAAGTCTTCTCACTGGGTGAGCTGCTTTGCAATATACTTCACATTGTTAGAAAAGGCTCCAGAAGGCCTTGGGGACATCAGTATCAGGGGCTGGAGCTGGACAGGCTCTTTCATCAGCACTTCTCCTTCCCTTTGCCAGCCAGGACCTCACATACTGTTCCGGATTGAACTGTCCTAGTGATGGTCCATTACATTTAATGAAAACCAGGCTGGACAGTCGGCTGACAGAGAGAGCATTCCTTTTTGCAGTAAGGATATCGTTCATGCAGCTGAATGCCCGCTCACACTCACTAGTGGAGAGAGCGATGGTTCGGACTGCTTTCAGTAGAGGCTCCATGGCAGCAGGTGTACGGGATGCCCTGGTTTCCTTGTATTCGCGAAAGCCCTGAACAGTCTCTCTTCTGTCCACTTTCAGCACTTCGCACAAACGTAGCACATCTACGTCCCCATACTGTACGTCTAACTCCTCTTCAGGCCAACTTCCAGGATGGATAACTTTCATGTCCTGGATTAGCTGATTGTCCCGGGCCTCCCGGCCATGTAATGGGATTTCTCTTGTGCTGACATGAGAGGAGGTTGTGGAAGTCATTCTGTGTCTCAGATTCTCTACCATACTGCGGAAAAACTGACCTGCATGAATCTGTACAAGCCTGCCATTCTCACGCAGGGCAACACCCTTGAAGGACTTCTCAGCTAGAGCTGTATGAACTGTAGTCATGTGTGGGCCAGGCATGGTGACCATGGATTCAAAAACTCGTATTTCTCGAGTTAAGAGCCTATCTGCTGTAGGCAGTGTCATCTCTCTTTTTTGGAGTTGCCGAGAGAGGTCGCTGAGCTCTGTGAGCGCATCGTACATCAGTCCCAGATTGCTGACAAACGTTGCAGATGTGAGCACATCATCCAGGCCCTTGTACTTTGCTCTGTCTCTGGAATCCCTGCTCGTGTCGTTTGCAGCATTTGTGAAGTGATCATGAAGCACTCGGTAGTTTTCCCAGACTGCTCTGACGCTCCTTTCACTTGAAGCCACCCAGCGGATGGACAAAACACACCCTATCACCAGGGGACGCTGTCCGACTGCTTGCGCACACTGCGCTAACTGCCTCTGATTTTTGGGGGAGGCATGGAACAAGGAATAGAGTTTGTCAAAAAAGATCTGGAAATGATTGAGCCCTGAGACCTCCTTGACCACATCCCCAACTGCCAGCTCTAGACGATGATTGGAGCAGTGCCACACAAACAGGCTTGGGAATTTACTACACAACTGGGTAGCAACGCCTGTTCTCTTCCCTAGCATGACTGAAGCCCCATCACATGCAAAAGAAACGAAACACTGACCTAAAAAGTCCTCGTTAAAATCTCTTCCAAGACACTCCATTAACGCCTTTGTGATGTCATCAGCCGTTGTTCCATCCAACTCGATCAGCTCCCAAAAAAACGTTTCGGGCTCAGCATCAGCTAATGCTGAGCGTAGACACACAACAAGCACCGTTTTACCACTAATAGTGGTAGATTCATCGACCAAAACACAGAGTTTTCTTTGGTTTTCTGTAATGTCTTTTGCCATTTTTTTCTTCAGCTCATGAGCTATGTGGTCGATGATTTCGCCACAGGTTTTATTGGAGTGCAAAACCCTGCCCACGTTCAGCCCATTCAGTTTCTGTACATTCAAATCAATTGGCATGTCTGTGAATGGCCGGCTATGTTTGCCAATTTTATATGCCGTTCGAAAAACTCTGATAGTGGTGTCTAATTCAGATGTATGCATAGACTGCACTTGATGTTGAATAGTTTCACGTGAAGCAGATGTAAGGATGTCAGCAGCTTTTACATGGGCTTGTGATTCTTTATGTTCTTTGATTTTTTTTTCTCAGGCTAGCTTGTTGTTTGCCCTTGTCAACACCGAAATGAGACACTGCACACTCACCCCATTCAGTTGACAGTTTCAGTCCTTGTCCAGTGTGTATTCCCAAAGATTTGACATCTCTGCATATCCGACATCCTAGCTTCTTATCTTTCAGAAGGAGCCATGCATTGGTCTTGCAAAAATATTGCACCTGGTCCGTTGTCCAGCAGTCAGGTGCATCGCTTCGCCCGGTGTTGGTGGTGGCAGTTGCGCCAGCAGCAGCTAACGTTAGAGGCTCTGGAGGAGGCGGCGGAGCTAGTGCTAATGCTAATGCACTAGAACTTGGAGCAGGAGGATCAACCAAAGAAAGCTCCCCATCAGACACAATTTCCAACACAGGCACAGCATTCTCTGTATTTGAAGTTTCTTCCGGCGACAACCGCTGTCTTTTTGCACTTTTATTAATCCACTCTAACATTTTAGAAATGCTAATTTGTGACGTGACTTGCTTTCCTTCTCTCGGGGGCGTGCCTGCTCTGTTCTATCACTCTACATAGCCACCCACTGGGTGGGAGTTGCACTGCATAAACACAACACACGTGCATCTAGGTATGTAAATTGTAAAGCATTAAAACATGGTTTTACTAACAGTTTTCAGTATGTTGTTACTTCGGCATTATTATTATTATTATTATTTTGAAACGTGTATTACTATTAAATCACGGTCAAATAGGTTAATTTTGACATAGTCGTTTCCACCACAGTATTTACATGGAGAAGATAAGCCCCGCCCCCTCTCCAGCACGTTCTGTTTGAATGACAGGAGTAAACAGCTGACAGCCGCTGTGAAACTCCAGCGGTTAGAGCGATGAGAATGTCCGTTCGGCACCTCATGACGCATCTACTGAGTACCGGGCGGCTGTATATATATGGATGTATAATAAGAACGGCGGGAGAGTGTTGAGTACTGGCACGGTGCATGAGTACCGGAGTACCACCAGCATGCCGGTACTGAGCAAGAAGTGCCGGTACTCCATGGGTCAGAACCAGAAGTGCCGGTA